CAACGAATAACCTAAAAGGCGAATCAAATTTCTGAAAACCTAGAATTCCCCATAAGGGCCGCACTCCACCAGGCGACAAAGTGAAACTGATAAGGACAGCTCGTTGACAAATCCTCAGCGGTGGGAGATCAGAGAAAGACCAAGAAGAAGATGTCAAATGCCTCATGCAAAAGAATATCTATTCCATTAATTATACTGTACTATCTCCAACGATACAATAATATGATGGCATATTTTTGGCATTTTTTGCTTATTCGCTTATCTGTTTACTGGCGGCCATTTTCAATACTTTGCTCTCCAGTTGCTCTTTTCCGGACGACTGGAAAGAAGCTACGGTTATCGGCATTCGTAAGCCGAATAAACCAGCCAACCAGCCCTCTAATTATCGTCCCATCAGCCTCCTCAGTTGCCTGGGGAAGCTCTACGAGTGGCTTCTATTAAACAGGCTCAAAGAGCACGTGTTTTCCAACGGCCTTCTGCCAGCAGAACAATTCGGCTTTCGAGCTAGACATTCCTGTCCCGATCAATTAGTCTGCCTAACGGAACATATCCTAAAAGGCCTAAATCACCTTAAACATCGCTATTAGTACAGGGGCTCTTTTCTTCAATTTCGCAAAAGCATTCGACAAGGTCTGGCACAACAGCTTGCTTTACAAGCTGTACACACTCAAAGTGCTAGATAGGCTCTTACACACTACGGGCCTTCCTATCGAACCACTCTTTTCGATATCGAGTTGAAGACACCCTCTCCACAAGCCGCCGCCTCACGGCCGGCGTACCACAAGGCTCCTGCCTCTCACCTTTGCTCTTTACGTTCTACACGAGCGATATACCTAAAGACCCCCATGTCAATCTCGTGCTTTTCGCGGATGACCCGGCGCTCTTATTCAGACCGCAACCTTAATCAACTAACCACTCGACTCCAAAGAGACGCCGACCACCGCGGCGCTTGGTTCTGCAAATGAAGAATAGAAGTAAATCCAGAAAAGAGTGTGGCGATTCACTTCACACGAAGTACTTACCCGTCTTTGTAATGGCCCTTGCCAATGCAAAAAATTGGGGCAAATATCCCTTTATGGTCAACCGCTCCCCTGGGAGAAAAAGGTCAAATACTTACGAGTCACTTTAAACTCGCGTATATCATTTACTACGCACATTAATAACGTTCGTAATAGAGCCGCGTTCGTCTCCGGCCGGCTACACAATTTAACTAACGCTAAAAGTAAAATTTCCTTAAGGCACAAGTTACTAATATATAAGACCTACGTACGAACTATTATGTCCTACGCATGCATGACCTTCGCCCACACGTACCCTACTCGCTTGCAAATAGTACAAAATGAGTTCATTCACCGCGCCACCGGTGCGCAGTGGTATCAACGCAACGTCGACCTGCACAGCGATTGCAGACTCCCGACGATTCGCGAATATTTTAACGAAATTGCGAGTAGTTTCGAAAGCTTTTGTTCAGACATTGCGGTTAATGTCACACGTACATTAAAATCATCTCCCACAGGCGCAATTAATGTTTTAAGAAATAATGTTACCCCTTGTCTACACACATTTAAATTTAATCACGTAGATACTTATGATATTATAAAAGTTTTGAATTCTATTAATCTTAAAAATACAGAGGATTTATGGGGTATGTCCATAAAATTAATGAGCACAATAATGCCATATATTGCACCATATTTGGCTTCTATTTTTAACAACTGCATAGATTTTGGAATATTTCCAGATCTTATGAAATTTAGTAAGATAATACCTGTCTACAAAAGTGGTAATAAAAATGATCCAGGCAACTATAGACCTATTTCCACATTGCCATCTCTTAGTAAAGTTGTTGAAAAGCTAATATTAAATCAACTTTTAGTTCATTTTAATGTGAACAAAATCTTTCACGATGAGCAATATGGATTCACTAAAGGCAGATCGACAACAGATGCGGGCGTCGCACTTGTCAAACATATTTATAACGCCTGGGAAAGGTCACAAGATGCAATAGGTGTCTTTTGTGACCTTTCAAAAGCCTTCGACTGCGTAGACCATAAAACTCTCCTTCAAAAGCTAGAATATTATGGCATTCGTGGCATCTCCCTCAATCTCATTGCCTCTTACCTTAGTAACAGAATTCAAAAAGTATATAAATGATGTTAAAGTATATAAATGATGTTAATTCCGCTGGGTTCCAGATGAAAATGGGAGTCCCACAAGGATCAATCTTGGGCCCATTATTATTTTTAGTATGTATTAATGATCTCCCCTTTTATGCCAGTGGGTGGTGTGATGTTGTACTGTTTGCTGACGATACATCGCTTATTTTTAAAGTTGACCGAAACGTATTAAATTATGACGACGTGAATAGTGCACTTTCACATATCCTCCACTAGTTTACTATTAATAATATGGTATTAAATGCCAAAAAAACCAAATGTATTCTTTTTACCCTTCCCAGTATAAGAAGGAAAAGTTTTTGTTTAATATTAAATAACGTACCCATTAATCCAGTTGAGTCTGCTGTATTTCTGGGAATTACAGTAGATTCAAAGCTCCAGTGGAGTCCCCATATATCATCTCTTGCGAATAGGCTGAGCTCCGCGTTTTTGCGATTAGAAGGGGTAGGCAGCTAACAGACTTGACAAACACTGCCAGACTTGTTTACTTTAGTTATTTTCACAGCATCTTGTCGTACGGCATTTTGTTGTGGGGTAGTGCATCAGATAGAATTTATATCTATTCTTCAAAAAAGAGCTGTCCGAGCAATCTACAATATCGGAGCCCGGAATCACTCAGAGATCTTTTCAAAGAGGTTAATATACTCACTGTTGCTTCTCAATACATTTATTGTAATGTTTTGTATATACGTCATAACCTTAATTATTACCTAAAGAATAGTGACAGACATAAAATAAACACTAGAAATAAGGACAAACTTACTACGCCATTGTTTCGTCTACAAAAAGTAAATAAGTCGTTCATGGGGCAAAGTGTGCGCATGTATAATAAAATCCCACAGTCGATATTAAGTCTCTGCCGCTTGACCAATTTAAATGTAAAATTAAAAATCAACTGATGATTAAAGCATATTATACCATTTCGGAATATCTCGACGACGCCAATGTGTGGAGTTAATACTGTTGATACTCACGTAGGCTAGACCATTATAAGACCATTATACCTGTATATTATATTGTACCCTGATATTTTTGAAAAAGAGCAACTGTTGAGTTTCTTGCCGGTCTCTTCTCAACAGAAACCGCTTTCCGAACCGGTGGTACCTTACGAACCTATACACATAATCTTTGATGTAAAATTTGATGATTCATAAGAGCGCGCAAGCGTCTATTTGAATAAATATATTTTTGATTTTGATTTTGATTTTGAAAGACCTGACCAAACGGTTTTTCGATAGAGCCGAACATCATCCCAACCCGCTGGTGGTAAGCGCAGCAAATTACCAACACGACACAAGCGCGAACGTCAACAAGCGTAGCCCGTGAAACGTCCTCATCGACCCGGTCGAGGAAGAGGACTTAGATACGTTGGATTAACCGCCGGGGGTCCCGCCGGATAACACTACACCCACAGTTAGTGCAACAACAAACACACTAGTTCGCCCTGTCCTCCGAGCACGGCGAGACCAACACAATGCGTACAAAAGGTACACCCGCGTTCCAGGGCCGTTCTCACCGCTCCCAGCCAGCGATTAGCTAATTGCACAGTCGAAGGCCATCGGAGTTTCGGTCCGAACCGCGACCTCGATGGCCCTTAGATGACACACCATAATTAAACGCACGCATGAGCACATGCGTGGCCTTACCCACAGCGGAGGGCCCAAGCCCGTGGGTTCGGCCTAGCCCACCGGTTCTGCGTCAGATGAAGCTTTAATAGTCTCGGGACTGAGAGCAAAACAATCAGTTAATACAAGACACATACAAGACTAGTCATAGACAACAGTTTTATTCCGTTCATTTATATCTCCTTACAGCTTTAATAAAAATATCACTTGATACGATTCCGATATTCAATTTTTTATATCGATATATCGAAGCAAAATATATCCTCCAAAAATATCGATATATTTCGGCATTCATAGCGATCAGTGTCGCTAACTAGGGATGGGCGAGTAAAAAAAATAGATCGATGTTTATCGTATCGACATTTTTAAAAACTGTCGATAACTATCGAGTGGAAAATATCGATAAATCTATTAATTTTAAATTTATTATAAAATTATTATTTAAATTTATTATATTATTTAAAATTAGTCTTTTACTTTATTTAAATTTATTATAAAAAAAGTATTATCGTGCACGAATCTAGTAACAATAAACACCAAATCAGAGTTGCGTTAAAAATATATCGATATTGATACAAATTCGATATTCGAAAATAAATATCGAATATCGATATATCGGGAATAAAAATATCGACAATATATCTTTAATTGGAAAAATATCGATATTTTTATATATCGAAATTTTTTGCCCATGGCATGCCTATCGCTAGTCCAACCAATCTCGAATTAACTGAACGTGATCGACGAAACAATTTTTTCTTATTTTCAGTGTGCGAATGAGATTGATTAATTTGACATTAACTTGTTTGAAATTTAGGAAATATTATTTACTTCATATAAACGTAGTGATTACATTCTCTTTGATTTACTTCTTTAATTCCGATTGCAAGTTCAAGTTCCAATGTCCCTTGAAAGTGGAGGTAAATATGTTTATTCAACTAAATATGTCGCCAACAGTGTGGCGGGAAGACAGACAACACCAGTGGCATTAGATGAAGACAAAGAAATCTTTTCGAGGGAAAAGATCTTTCGCGGCTTCCATAAGAGACCAATAGTTCTCTTGGAGCGTTGTAATTTTATACCTCTTCTCAATAATGACACAAAAAAATACAAACAGAAAATAGACCCCGGAACGGCATGCGAGGGAATTAAACAAATCAATTTACATTTGCAAAACCTTTCAAAAACATGTTCGGTAATGTTAGTAAGGGAAGATTTGGAGAAATTAAAAAAGGAGTCTACGTTATTGAGAGCGGACCCAAGCAAATCTAAGAGGAAAAAAAAAGCGAAGAGTCAAGATGATTATGGAGCCTACAAGTGTTCACAGAAGCGGGTGAGTTTCTCAGAACATATAATAGTTCACCTGGTGAATGATTGATACAGATCGCAAAAAGTGCACATCTATATTCAAAGACTATAAATGTTTAAAGCTGCATATTAGGCGGAAGCACAGAAAAAATAAATGCTACATTTGTAATTACTGTTCTAAGAAATTTCTATATAGGATCCTATTTAAAAATCATGATAAGCTGCATTCTGATCTTTGTGGTGTCCTAATGCAAGGTAAGATTCAATACTTGGAGCATAAGAGTTCTGTATGTCATAACAAAAAACCTACCATTGTCAGACTTGGAATGAGCATTTTAAATTTACCGATTTGATAGAACACAGTTACACATTACCACAATGTTAGGTTGCGATATATGCAAATATCAGTTTGAAAATAAATGTGCTTTAGTTCACTACATAATATCTCTTCTGCATTCAGTAAAGCGTCCTGAAGAATTATATACATTCCAAAATTTGGGGAGCAATATGTTGTACCATTGTAGCTTTTGCCCTCTGAGTTCTTTTGAAAAAGATATAATAGAGTTTTACTCATCATCAGTCCTGCCAGATTTAAGTCATCAACATAGATCACATGGATTATTATTTTTGCAATCAGTGTTTGAAGAAGTTTGATACGGAAACTAACATGTTACAGCACAAGTGTTCACATCTGATAACTGATAATGCCAAATCACAGCAAGAAAAACATGCATCAAATGTTACTGAGGAGCAAAAAGGAATCAGCATTAATAAAAATAACAAAATTATTATTGAACAAAAATTAGCTGTAAAACAAGCCGAAGAAAAAACAGAAGTCATTAATGTTGACAATTTTGATCATACTTCTGTGGGAACAAAATTGTTGGCAGATAAAAAAATATTACGCTATCTTCTAAAATACCCTGTAAAAACAAATAAAAAAGATTCTTCCAAAAAAACAGCTTCTGAAAAGGCTATGAATGTGGAACAATTACAATATCTATATCCACCGAAAAAGGCAATAGTGGATCCCATTTCTAAAAAAACTATTGTTTCAAGGCACAATTGTGAGGTATGTCGCATCCATTTACTATTAATGTAACTATATTTTTACATGAAATTATTTTGTACCGATTTTTAGACCATAGTTTATAATTGGATAAAACAAGATTTGTGCACAAAGCTTAGTGGACTTTTTAGTATTGTGTATATTATTTTTTATTCATTTATTCATATTTTATTGCAATCACCTTGATCAAGGATTACAAAGGATTGCAAACTCGATGAAATATCATTAATAGAAAAGAACTTTTGTTCATAGGAGGCAAACCAACACATTAAATTGCCTTTGATACCGTTAAACGAAGTAAGAGTTAAGGCTTTTAATATGCAGTATTTATATCCCTCGCATAGGAATAATAATTTTCTAATCCTAGCCCTATCCCCTGATTCTTTAAAAGTGTAAACAATCAATTTAGTCTTCTTCGCAAATATAACTTATCCAAAGACCATTTTAACAGACTTCAAAAAGAAGGAGGTTATCAATTCGTATGTTTATATTTTTTTGTGTATGTTCGGCCATAACTTTGTCATATACGTATAGGCGGATTTGCAAAATTCTTTTTTGTTTGAAAGGGTTTCATTCTGTTCTCATGATGATTTTCCGAGATAGCAATGGAACTCTTCGAAGTATGAGAGGAAAATAACCATGATTGCTGCTATCAATTGCAATCATCATTTCAATCATCAATTCCAATCATCAATTTTAAATAGTCCAATTTACCTTTTCCCCCAATAAATAAAGGCAATGTCCTATCTGTTTACAATGAAGCTCGTAAGTTTCAAGTTTTTATCCATAGCTGTAGTTCTTCACTGAAAACTCCTTTTAAAAAAATGTTCCACACAATCTTGATGGGATTATGACTGCACCCTGACTTGCAAAAACGGCAAAGAGGCTGAACATAAACACTGGGAGTATTTATGTTTAGCCGCTTCTTTTCCATGACATCTAGAAGAAGAAGACCGCAAGCCTCGATTTTGTACACCAATGTCTCCCAACACTCATCCATCAATTGTATAGAAAAACGTCAAAAGGTTTTTGTTGTGTGAAGCATAGTCAACATATCTTATCCTTTAAACGAGCAATTCTTGTATATATATATATATATATATATATAAATATATATAAATATATATATATATATATATATCTAATCGGAATCTCGGAAACGGCTCCAGCGATTTTCATGAAATTTAGTATGTGCGTAGATTCGGGGGCGGAAAATCGATCTGACTAGGTTTCATTTTTAGAAAATGTCGCTTTATCCCTGTTTTCAGGGAATGAAAAATATAATTCGAATATGACGGTAAATGCGCCGCAAGAGAAAATGTCAAAATAGCTCGGTCAGTAATCGGGCGGCCCCAAAACAGATGGCCGTGGTTCGCGTCACGATCATTTACACATTTATTTTTTTACTTTTTTTCCGATTCCAGATCATTGCTTTCTTTATTTTTAATTTTTTGTCGATTTGTTATTTTGTTACTTTTTTTCCCTTTTTTTTTAAAGTTCTTTCTTTTGTGAAAAACATCAGTTCACATTTTCTTATTATTACGTCGGTAAGATCGGAAAATATTATGCATATTTCATTACTCAGTAATTTGTATCTAAATGTAATTTCCAAAATAAACGATTTACCAAAAAAAACAAACCGAGCAAGGCTCGGTCCTCCAGGTACTTACTTTTAATGACCCTTATCTTTCGATTGGAGACTTTTTGATAAAACTTGCACTGACGCCAGAATCAAACTGTTAAATATTTCATTTTTGGTTATTAATAATAGCAATTAGCTGGAAAAATTTAATATCCTTTTCCCTCAATTATTATATGTGTATCCGATATTTAATTGCTATTGTAAGAAGGTTTATCATAATATGTGATAGCATGCAGGCTTGTATACAAAAATATGGTTATTCGTATTGTTAAGAGCTGGGCGTTTGGGATTGGGGAGAAACGTCGGTCGTTTAAATGTTTACTTTTTTATCGCCGACAAAGATGTGCACAACCAACCTTTCAATAGCGTTTTAGTCCGATGCGACGTCTCTCCCGTTCCCCAGCAATCTTACAGTGACACGACTGCCGGTGCGCTCCCTCGCACCAATCTCCACGTGCGCGTTCATTGGTGCAACGATCCACACGTTACCGCACCAACCCATCGCGTACGAATTTACACTACTAGTCCACTATGCTCTTCAGTGTTCACTCACTTTTCTACTTTTTTTTTAAGGTTTGCGGCAAATACTTTTCGTCGAATTTCACTCTGACACGTCACAAGATTTCGGTGCACATGCCACGCAGCTCCAGGCATCAGTGTCGGGTCTGCAAGGAGACGTTTGAGTTGCAATCTCAACTAAATTCGCACAAGTGTAACCTCGCAAACTACCAACAGATGGCAAGTAATGGTGCCATGCAGCTATATCGGGGAACAGGCGCAGATGTTGGTCAGTTGACCGCCGAGGACTACTTCATGGGTAGGGATGACTTTGAAATGCCAGCACCTATAGTCCAGTTGACTGAGTACAATCAGTGCATTCCAATGGAGCCGTACATCCAACAGTATAGCAATGGAAGCAATACGACAATGTGCATATTGCCGATGGAAAATTCAAAATACAAATTGGTCATGCAAGAGGTGCCGATAGAGTTCTAAGTTTTGTATGTCAAATTGGGATTTATTTGCAATTAAAGGTGAGTTCCAACATCGCAATTGATAATACTGTTTTATTCGGATAAAGCTTTGTTATAATAAGTACAATTATTTTGTTTGTTGCAGAATGTAAATGCAACTTAAGAAAATATGGCATAATTTATATTACAAGTAAACAATTATACAAATTAATTATCAATTAAATTTAAGACCTTTTACTAGACTCAGGATTGTTTTGGCATATCTTTCTTTAATTCCTTGCTACAAATACGGTATAAGAATAAAAGCAAGGTGATTATTTGTTACATGTATTACCATATTATAATTGTTTATTGTCCAATGTACCGAATACAGTGTACAACTCGTGTTGCAGTCATCCCCATATGGCCCCTTTTTATTTCAACTATTTCTTTCATAACTTGGATTTCTGAAATAAGGTCTACTACTACTTAAAAAAAACATAAAACGAGATGTTTTTTTTATATATATTGACAATAGAAAAAGAATGCTCAGAAAAGTATTGAAGATTATTATTTTATTGAGTATTACATTATTATTTGTTATTTAATTATAGAATTACGATATACCTCTAACATTGTCAATAGGTTCTAAGTGTGGGCATCTGGGATATTAGCAATGTACTTTAAGATAATATAAACACGTTTTGACCTTATAAGACAACTTGTCTTGAATATCCAGTTTTACACAATTTGACCGAACAAAATTTGCATTCACAATTCCAATTGATTTGCCGCAGAAACACTGCACATACATCTTTCTTCGTGAATTATCATAGAGTTTATAACTGCTACGGCCAATAGAATATTGTAGCTAGACAGTCTAACATTGCAGTTAAAATGCTGTTTTAACTGCAATGTTGCTTTATCTGTGTTAATTGAATCATCATCCACTATAGTATGGACGGCTATACGGAGAGGCTTTTCTAAAGGTATCCTATCTTTTTTTTAATTAAATTCTAGACATATATAATGTTATATCTTGTATCTTGTATTAACTGATGTTTTTGCTGCCGTGCTCGTAGGCGAGGGCGAACTAGTGTGTTTGTTGTTGCACTAACTGTGGGTGTAGTGTTGTCCGGCGGGACCCCCGGCGGTGGGTCCGGCGTATCTAAGTCCCCTTCCTCGACCGGGTCGATGAGGACGTTTCGCGGGCGACGCTTGTTGACGTTCGCGTTTGTGTCGGGTTGGTAATTTGCTGCGCTTATCACCAGAGAGTTGGGATGATGTTCGGCTCTATCGAAGAACCGTTTGGTCAGGTCTTTAAAATATTCGCAAATCGTCGAGAGTCTGCAATCGCTGTGCAGGTCGACGTTGCGTTGATACCACTGCGCACCGGTTGCGCGGCGGATGAACTTATTTTGTACTATTTGCAACTTGTACAAGCGAGTAGGGTGCGTGTGGGCGAAGGTCATGCATGCGTAAGACAAAATAGGTCGTACGCAGTCACGCGTCTTATATAATAATAATTTGTGCCTCAAGGGCATTTTACTTTTAGCGTTAGTTAAATTTTGTAGCCGGCCGGAAACGAACGCGGCTCTATTGCGAACGTTATTAATGTGCGTAGTAAATGACATACGCGAGTCGAAAGTGACTCCTAAGTATTTGACCTTTTTCTCCAAGGGGAGCGGATGGCCATAAAGGGATATTTGCCCCAACTTTCTGCATTGACGAGGGCCATTATAAAGATGTGACGGGTAAGTACTTCGTGTGAAGTGAATCGCCACACTCTTTTCGGCATTTATTTCTATTCTCCATTTGCGGAACCAATCGCCGAGGCGGTCGGCAGCGCTTTGGAGTCGAGTGGTTAGTTGTCTAAGGTTGCGGTCTGAATAAAAGAGCGCCGTGTCATCCGCGAAAAGCGCGAGATTGACGTGGGGGTCTTTAGGTATATCGCTCGTGTAGAGCGTAAAGAGCAAAGGTGAGAGGTAGGACAAGGCTCCTGGTACGCCGGCCGTGAGGCGGCGGCTTGTGGAGAGGGTGGTTTCAACTCGATATCGAAAAGAGCGGTTCGACAGGAAGGCCCGGATGGTGTGTACGAGCCTATCTGGCACTTTGAGTGTGTACAGCTTGTAAAGCAAGCCGTTGTGCCAGACCTTGTCGAATGCTTTTGCGATATCGAAGAAAAGAGCCCCTGTACTAATGAACCTTGATCGGGACAGGAATGTTCGGCTCGAAAGCCGAATTGTTCCGCCGGCAGAAAGCCGTTGACGGCCGGCAGACGGTTTGCTAACCGGTCGTGGCGGACTATGTTGTAGTTTGCGATTCTGGGATCGCGAACACTAGGTTTTAATAAGGTCTCTTGTACTAGAAAAATATCTACATTATAATCGCGAAGGAAATTGCGATTTCGTCCCTTTGAGCATTAATGCCGCTTGCGTTGAAATACGAAACAACCAGAGCCCGAGGTTTTGTTCTACCTGCGGTTGTACTTCCCATTAAAGTTTTTTATGAATTCTAACTAACGACGCGGCGGAGCGCGGTTTTATTGCGCGGACTATTAAGTTTATGGTTGGCTTGTAAATGCCCAGAGCCCAATGGCCTTAAATCGCGCGGTGCCAGATGCGGCGGCCGCTATTTTAGCAGACAATACGGCGAGTTCTTGTCTATTAATGCGGTCTAATAAGGTGCAGATGTTGGCAATTTGGGCGAACGGGTCGTCCTTGTTTTCGGCGAAAACCAACGGTGTCGACTGCACCTGCGGCGTCGGCGCCGTTTGATAGGCGGGCTGCGATTGAGCGATTGGTCGTGAGGCGACCGGGGGCGCAACTATTTGCGCGGCCACCTGGGGTTTCGCCCAGGCGTTTACGACGGGTACGGGTGCGGGAACCTATTTCACGGGCGCGGGTTTGGGCAAAGTTGATTTCGCGGGAGTTTTTGGGGCCTTAGCGCAGCCCCTGTAGCTAGCCGGGTGGCCGGTGGTATGACAATTGACGCAGTCCGGAGGATCTGCGCAATCTTTCGGCCGCGTACAATCGGGCGTGCCGTGGTCACCGGTGCATTTGACGCACCTAGGGTGAGCGAAACAATTATTAGCCGTGTGGCCATAGTGTTGGAAGTTGTGGCACTGCGCCACAACTCCCGATCTTCGCGGGGGCTCGATCACGATGTCGCTGAGCCCACAGACCCTCTTCAGGTTGAAGATGGCCTTACCTTCCGGGGTAGGGTCAAGTTCAACCATCACCATGCCCATAGGGACACGGGTTCTGGGGTGTCTGAGGCGTCGGACGGCGTGCACAGGGTATCCCTGAGTGCGGATGTCGGTTTTCGCCTTGTCGACATCCGACTCTTTGGGGACGCCATTGATAACTACCCGAAGCTTGCGTTCTTCGGGCAACGAGTAGGTGTGAAAACCTGTCTTATTTTCGCGCAAGTATTTCGTTAAGCGGCGGAAATCTTCCGTTGTGTCAAGGTATACGCGGATACCCATTTGTGTATTTTTCGACCGGGGGTCGCGGATATTGTGGCGTTTAAACCACGAACAGATTTGGTGCCACTTAGCCTTCTCCTGAATGATGATGGGTGGAGGAGGCTTTATTTTTCGCTCGGAGGCGAATTCGGGCATCGGTTTAGCCGCCGCGGCCGCCTTTTTGGCGGGCGTCGCACTGGGTTGGTTAGTTGAAGCGCCTGCGCGTTCGGGGTCGCTGTCGGCAGCGGGGCGTTTTTTGCCCTTCTTACGAGACTTTACGACGGTGAAGCCGTCGACGTTTGCGTTTTCAGCGGGGGTCGTTTTGACCTCCATGTCCGATCCGCCGTCCGATTGTGAGTCGGGAACGACGGCGCGGAAGGGGGCCGAGATGGGATGCGCGGAAGGCGCGATGGGTACGATCGCGGCGGCGGAGGTCGACGCGGCGGGCATTTCTTGTGTCGCTGAAGACGACGCATTAGCGGGCGCTGAGGGCGCCGGAGATGACGGCGAGGCGACTGCCGGTGAAGCCGGGCTGTCGCTGGCGAACTCGACGACTAAACATTTTTCTTTCGCGAACGCGAGAAAGTTTGCCCACACTTCGGGACATCGTTGGCGAAGGAATTCCTCTAGGAGGGAACCCATTTCGAGCGCTTGAGCCTTTGGGGCTTGCGGCCCGCCGGCGTGTAAGTTACTAAATAGGCCTCCCCATCTTGCGGCAGGGAGGTATGTGCCTAAAACTAACAACTAATCCGCCTGCGCCTTAGGTGCGCTAGGGTGGGTACCTAGCTGTCGCCTATCGCAACATCATCATATCAGCCGTAGGACGTCCACTGCTGAACATAGGCCTCCCCCATTGACTTCCACTTCGACCGGTCGTTAGCGGCCTGCATCCAACGCGTCCCTGCGATCTTGGCTAGGTCGTCCGTCCATCTTGTGGGAGGCCTTCCTACGCTGCGTTTGCCGTCACGTGGTCTCCACTCGAGAACCTTTTTGCCCCAACGGCCATCGGTTCTTCGAGCTATGTGCCCTGCCCACTGCCACTTCAGCCTGCTGACTCGCTCTGCTATGTCGGTAACTCTAGTTCTTCTACGGATCTCCTCATTTCTGATTCGATCTCGTAGAGAAACCCCAAGCATTACCCTTTCCATAGCGCGCTGTGCGACCGCGAGCTTCCTTATGAGGCCCATAGTGAGAGACCATCGCAACAAGCACACAGTTATTAAATAAAAACAATGCCGCCTCTGAGGCGAGAAGTGTGTATAGAATTCTACTTACAGAACAGGAACCTGCCTACGAGCACAACACACACTAAACTACTGCGCTGCTTGCACAAAGATTTAAATTGCAACCGAAGTTGCGAGTAGCGTGTAATTCGGGTGGCATTAGCCCTCCGTCTTAGAGAGAGGTCCGTTTCGTACGAGAGCACGAAGCGGAATCTATAATGTTATATAAAATATGATCAATATTTAAAATCACTCGTAATTAATTAATTACATTAATTTGCACTTAGCTGAAAAAGTGCGTGATTTACACGCCGTGCCGGCACGGGTCGTCTCCGATTTATCGCGAGCGCT